TAATGGTAAAATTGAACCGGTAAACGATCGGAACGGATCGATTCCAGGTAGCACGGCACTCCAGTTATGGACAAGTTAAATATCAATGTTCGACGCGAGCCGGTTAGGTTAACCGTGACGTCGCGGCGCGCGTCGTCGTCGTCGTTTCTCCGTACCCTACGTCGAACAGAGAAACGGACACGCGACGCCGCGCCGGCCGCGATTCTCCGTCGCCGCGCCGTCGAACGGAGAGTTACACGAGGGAACGCGAATCCATTAATAACCGGAATCAAGTGAAATTCGGGTCGGCTGCTGAATCACTCGCATGATAAACGAGGAGCGGCTTTCTCGGAAGTGGCGGCGGCGTTTTAAACGGCGAGAGGATACGTGACGCGCACGGGTGACATTAAAATGTATACGTTGCACGTACGGTTATTTATGTCCGAAATAGACCGGGCTCTCCGAGCCCGCAACCCCCGGCGAATATAATATCCCCGCGGCTACCACGAGATCGCATTACGCGATATCGATTCCGCGCGGGCTCGGATCCGGAGACGGACGGAACCTGCTCCCTTTCTCCGGTAACTCTCCCCGGCCCTTCGGCCTGTTGTTCGGCCGGGCTTCATTAACCCAGCCACGTTAATTAATCGAGACACGCTCCTCCGCCGGATCAAGATGCTACCGTACGGAACCGAATAGCTCGCGCTACCGCCAGAAACTGCCGATCGAAAGGAAACCTCCGAGGCGCCCCTGCGTCGCCGAGCGATCTGATAGCTGCCGATGCTACCTGCGATCCACGACCCCGGCGGTACCGTGTATTCTTTCGACTCTCTGATTCCGCTTGCGCGGAACAAACCGACCGTCGATTCGCCACTCCCACGCTCCTCTTTCTCCTTTTACGTCAATTAACATCGTTCGGCTACCCCGATCTTACGGGGAAACGAATAAATTAGCTCGCCGGTCGGCGCGCGGGTCTCGGGATCGTTCGTGCCGCGGATTTCGATCAATTTGTCTTTAATCCGCAAGCGGAACGGCATCGCGGGATGTTCGATCGGGGGAATCCGCCAGCGTCGCGGCGCAAATGAAACGTACGATGCGGTAACGACCTCGTTCGCCCCGAACCCGTTTTACCGCGCTGCTTCTCGGGGCGTCATAAACCCGGCGCCGTAAAGCGCGCCGCCGCCTTCTCCCCCGCCCCGGCGGATGCCGACTTTCGCGAATTCCCGGGTAATTGTCGCGGGGTGCACGCAGAGACGTTCGCGTAACGCGGCCGCCGCCCGCCCCTCCGTCGACCGGGCAAGTTCCTTTCAAAGATCCGCGCGCGAGCCAACTAATTACGAACTACGCGAGGCATCCGTTTAACGGTGTGTTTTACTTCCAAATTACACGCGCGAGCTGCTTGTTGCCCGGCTCGGTGTTTAAGCATCGCCCCGGAACACATTTAGACACACGGGACACGTGCGTCCCTCAAACAGTACGCGCGCCGCCGCCGTTGGCCGGATCTCGCGCCGTAAACGCGACGAGTTTGTTGTTCCCTGTCGCAATCCGGCTCGATCCTGCGCCGGAGTTTTCGTGACGGGAAAACGAAGCTTGCCGTTGTCCTAGATAAGACCGCGCAGCGTCCGCTCCACGAGAGGCCCCGGAACGTTCGTGGTTCACGTGAAACCGGGGACGTGGACGCAGGTTCCGATAACGCGGACTCGGTCGGTCCGTCAGTCGAAACGCGAGCGGAGTTTCGAAAGCAGAACGTCGGCCTGCGCGGTCCATAAACAATACCGCGATGGTATCGTTTACTCGTTGTCGCACGACCGCGCGGGGATTCTACGGCCCACCAATCGGGGGCCACGCGTATCGCGTCCGTAGCCGCGACGGACTCTGATTAATTGCTGTATAGTTTCCTGATTCCGAGTTACGAGCTTGACGGCCTGCCGTAAACCTTTCGTTGCGCAATTCTCTTTACGAGCCGAGAGCTTACTCGTGATCTTAAACGGGTAGATTGGGTATCGGAGAGTTCCCGATCAGACGCGTCGACCGAATCACCGCCGGAACTGCGTACTAACCTTCGAAAGATCGAGTTCCCCTGATGGAGCGACTTTCCATTCGGCAAATAATTCGTTCGTCAAACGGAGGACGATCTTTAGTGCCGTTCTCGATGATCGGAAGCACCACCGTCGCGTTTCCAGAGTCGGTATACCAAATTCGCGGAACCGTCGTATTTTCGTCCGACGGGCGTGCCATTATCACGGCTAGAAGGAGGAGAGTAACGAAGTTAATCGACGATATCGGAAACGAGTGTACCGTGACTCATTTTCCCAAGGAGCCGAGAACGCGATGAGATCATCGTGGACCACCCTCGTGCCCCATCCCTCGATCGCGTATCCGAGCCCCTTCCAGCCCCCGCGACACACAATTCCATCCAGAATTTACGGTCGTTATTGCTCTCGTGGAGCCACGTGTGCTCAGCTATCTTCCAGGATTCCATTAATTGGATCTGGAGTCGGGTTACGAGTCTCTGTTCCGTTGATGCTGAATCAGAGCAGTCGTAAGTACCGCGCGGCTTTGCTGAAACGTATGGTTTCCCGCGCGGCGGCTATCACGCTACCTCTCTACATTCGATATCGGCTACAGTGGCGTCGTGTCCAGTCGATGGCGTAACAACGCGAGCTCGTAATTATTTTTCCTCCTGAAACGGTAAATCAGCATATTTACCCGAATAAACATTCACGAGGAAATAAAACGGATACTGTACGAGAAACGTACATAAACGCAAAGATAATTAGAGAAGAGGAAAACATAAAGATGAGGATAATCCCGGGTTCACGCGCAAAAACGAAATAACTTTGCCTACCAAGGGCGCATTATCTGGGTCAGTCGCATTCGTTTCGGCCCCGCGGAACACTAGATTTTCATTCCCGTGCGATCTTCGATACCTCCTCGCCTTGTCCAGCGTCTGGCGCACGGATCCTCCGTTTCCCGAGTAGAGAGACCTCGTCGTTCGTTCCGTCGGACGCGACGGCACGCCGCAGACCCGCGGTTTTATCGAACAGAGGTTACTCGGTTCCCTGCGGAGTTGCGTCGGACTTTCCGCGGCGAGACGGGTCGGTGTCCGCCGGGTCGAAGAAAAGGTCCGTGACCTTTCCGCGCGTCCCACGCCGAGCGACGCGTTAAAGCGGCATTCGATATTCGACGGCTCGGAGAGAAGCGTTTAGGCCCGCGGGGCTGGGCGTCGCGTCCCTTATCATCCGCGCTCGCGCGAACAGAATCTCCCGGGAGCAAAGGGACCATACATCATCGCGGTCGCCTTTATTTGCCGAATTCCAGCGGCGAGCGGGGAAAAACGCGGGCGCGAGTCGGTCGAAGGATCCGGGGAGAAAGGAATTCTCTCGGCGTGCCGCTAAGCTCTCGGGCTGAATCCATTAGCTGACGCCATTAATATCCCCGTAATGATGAGCGATGAGCCGCGGCGAGATGGAGGAGGATCGGGGGTGGAGGATGACAAGTCGCGTCGTCTAAGTGCGCGGCGTGGAACGGGGGGATGATTCCGCGCCGCCGGTGGGACTCGCTCGCGCTCTCCTCCGCAGGGACGCGCACCGGCGGCTCTCGGGATCGTATCGAGTCTCCCGCGCGCACAACCGGCCGCGAAACCTTTGATAAATGCTGGTTCCCTTGGCCCGTCGCCAAACAACGCGCGCCACAATATTCCATCTCGCGTGTATCCCCCCATTCTGGCCGGAGAACGGTCGACTTATCGATGTAATCGAATCGGCCGCCGTTCCCCACGGGATTCCCGGGGCTCGGCTATCAACCGCGGCGTCGCGGTACGCAAAATTACGCGCCCGGGAAGAATGCGCCCGATTTAACTGTTAGGAGGAGCTCTAACCTTCCACCCCCCTCCTCCCTCTCTCTCTCTACGAGACGGATAACGAGTCTCCGACGGGAATGCATCACGCTGTAGCCGCGAGATCGTCGCGTCTCCTGATCGAACGGTTCTCCTGGCGCCTAGCCAGCCGACAGAATACCCGTCGAGCGAATATAATGCTCGCAGAGGGAGCGAGGGCTTATCGGTACGCGTTAAATCGCCGATCCCAAAAGCGCGTCGTCGCCGTTGTCGGTCCTTCTCCTTCGAGACGCGCACCTCCCGGAGGTTCTCGCAGCTCCAGGTAAATGAGTCTGGCCGCGGCGCGCTCACAATGCGTCGTCGATCGATCTCCGCGCGGAGCGCACACGACAATGGGCACGAACCGACGGAGACGACGAGGCCGGAGGAAGTTTCGCCATCCCGAAGATCCTTCGCACAAAAATCACTTTCCCTTTTCGCAGGCGCGCCACGTAACGTCGCCGGCCGACGCCCTGCTCCGTCTCTATTTCTCTCTTTCTTCCTCTCTCTCTCTCTCTCTCTCCCTATTCTCCTCGCAACGCGTGACGAGCGTTTTCCGTGGGCTGCCGGCGTGTACCAGCCCTTGGCGACGGATTCGAGTCGACGAGAAGGGGATGCAGGATTCGAGACGTGAATTTCGAGCGTATCTTCCTTCCTGCCTGTTCCCGGATCCTCTTTCATGGTTATAATCGTATCGGAAGCGTGCTGTATGCGATGGAACTGCTAAGCCGCGCGGGGAATATTGGTCAAAGTTATAGTTAATTCGGCTTCCATCGGAAGCAGTTGAAGCAGTTGGTAATAACGGGTGATCGGCGCGTCGATTGATCCCGGCAACGCGGCACGGCGTCGATGCGCGCTGCCCGTCGGTACCGTTTATTCATTTGTATTCGTCGGGCGTTTATTAGCATCCGTCCTGAACGCCTCCATTAGAAGTGCAACGACTAGATTGCGGAAGTTGATGCAGATTAACGGTTCGCAGAAACGTTCTCCATCGACGATTTCCGTGAATCGCTTGGAGAAATAAAACGAGACTGCGTTTCGTTCTGTCATTCTGATATTCTCGCGCCTCGTAACTCCACGAGGATACAGTTCACCGGCGAACGAATCGTTCACCAGGCCTAACGAATTCCTTGTTTCTTTCCAGATGATCGATGCGTCGTACCACACGAACCCGTCGCTGCAGAGCACCGCCTTGATCATCACCTGCGCGGTCGTGCTGCTCCTAATGGCGGCGATCGTTTCCGTCGTCTTCTGGAAGTGAGTACCAGCATCCTCGATACCGAAGTTTCCGCGATAGAATCGTGCAACGCGGCACTCGACTGACGCACCGTCGCGAGATACTGTTCCCAGGACCGTGTCGGGGCGACCGCGTCAACCCCCGACGGCAATAAAGACTAGGTTTCATTCCGACCGGACATCGTAAGGTGTGCGGGACTCAGGGTCGCTCGGGTTGTAACCGTATTTCAAGGGTTCGAGTGGTCGTCCGTGCGGAGGGTCCCTCGGCGAAGCGGGTAGAAAAGGGCGATCGAATAGGGCCGGGGACGGTTGCCGGTACGACACGGGTTTGCCATTCTGGCGGTCACCGAATTAGCCAAAAATAGGCGATTTCGCGTCGGCCACGGGTCGGTACTCCCGACACCGTTTGCTTAGCGAGATTACTTCGGCCCCCCGGCTTGTCTTCCTCGTGCAATCTCGGCGTAGTGAAAATTTTATAAGAAATCCCCCGCCGGCTCGGCCGTCCCGATGGAGACTTAAGAATCATGGACGGGGGCAGGAAACGGGTGTCATTGTCATTCCAGTAGGCGCTAAATTAGCCGTGAACATAGGCCACTGCGGAAGCCAGAGTCGGTCTGTCGCGGTGTCCGGCGGTGCTCTAGGCATCGCGGGTTTCGTTCGTTCGCGATAATCTACAGTGGCACCGGGGAATCCTCTCAACCGTGCCTACAGAATATATACGCGCCGGCTCTATAAATTTCTCGCAGGTATACTAATGAACTTTATTTCTCCCGGGTCAGCGATGTTCGAGGAACTCGTACAAAACGCGGCCCACGGAAGCGCAAGCTCGACGCTGACGTTCGCCGCGTTTCGGTTGAACGAGCTTCTGAGAAGCGATCGGCTCGCTCGACAGGTTTCTCTATTTGTCCAAAAATACGCGTTCGAAGAATCGAGCGGCAGTCGAGGCGTTGTTACGCGTCGACTGCCGCCTGAGCGATAATCACTGACACGGTAGCCACGCCGAGCGGTCTTTCTCTCCCGCCTTAGTGCCCGCGGCGAAAGCACGTTGCTCGTGGATCCGCGAGAGATCCGCCGGGAAGAAATACGCATCCAACGCGGCGCACAGCCTAGAAGATTTACGTGGTCCCGCGTTCACCCGATTCGGACATTGTCTCTCGCTGGTTTACCCGCGGTGTCGCTATAAAGAATGAAATACAATGGCGGGAAAGAAGATTCCGGAGTCGCCGGTACTCGCGGCCTCCCACCGTCGCGTCCAACGCCGAACAAACTTTTCTATTCGTAACTCTCGCCGTCGTTGTTGACGGAATACCAGACTCCTCCAGCGATTCTTCGATTATTCGGCGGTGGCATTTGTTTCTGCAGCGATCCGGCGAGGAAGACAACGGCTATCAATGGTACCACCGATCGATGAACTCTGTCTTGGGCGATCGGCAACGGGCCAAGACGATTTTGGATCGCACAGAGACCCGCATTCAAGACCCGCCAGCCAGAGCCCCCGTATTTTACATCTGGGCAAGCCCCTCGAACATCCACTGATCGCGACAGCGTCGTCCCTGTCCGCGGCCCTCTTTTCGCCCGGTTATCGTAATAGGCGGTCATTATCGTTCGTTCCCGCCAACATCTGAACGCCGGGTCTCGCGGCTCTTCGACGTTCCCCCTCCCCGCGTAGAATCTGTAATGCCTGCACGATATCTCGCCGGGCGAGAAACATTCCTGCACGTGAAACGCGAACCTGTCCGGGGTCCCATGCGCCGGCGGGCCGCCTTTTCGTCGACAAGATTTCGCGATCGACGAATAATTCGTTCCGACGGGGAACCCCGGCCGAAAGCCGTCCCCTGTCTCCCCGGCTGTTTGCACAACAGCGTTTCTGTACCACGGGGTTTTTTCGGTTTATCGTAATAGCCCCGCAGCGCCATTATCGCGGGCCGCAAGCCTGCACGTCTCAAGTCTCAACAGGCACCTCCGGCTGTTCGCCTCGGACTTTGTGGGTGGGCGACGTCCTCTCTCCTCGTCCGACGCGCCGTTCTTTAATCTCTTGACGCGCGGGAACAAGCTTGTCTCTCGCTGTAACGGGTGTCGATTAACCATCAATTATCGGCGATCGAAGTTTCACGAGAATATCGGAACGCCCGGAATGCCATCGGTATTCCCCCCGAGCACGTTCAACGCTCGGCCGTCCCGCGAGGAACTTTTTAACGTCTCGTTTATCCTCTCGAGCCGGAGAGAGGACTGTTTTTTCAACCGTGAAAGCGTCTGGTCAGCGAGTTTCCCGATCGAGGCCCGTTCCGCCTTTAATCACGATCTTGGACACCCCGTACGAGCGTGTACGGGCACGTACACGCGAGCGGAACCGACGTCGCCTCGTGTCCCCGGCAAACGCGGAGAACCAACACGAGCCCGCGTAGTTTGTATGCTAATCGCAGCCCTGTTCGCCCATCTCTCCGCGCCCTCTCGTCCCCGCTCCGTCGTCGCGATACACGCTCCCCTTCCCCTCGCCCCGCTCTCGCAGTCCGCTTCTCCTCTTCTCTTCCGCTCTGTCCGAACCGCGTCTACTCGGCCGCTTCTCCCTTTCGCGCCGCGATTTCCGTACTCGACGCGACCTCCCCCGTGTTCCAGTCGATTCGCGATAATTCGACGCCGGCGTTCGATACGGCCACGCGAACGGGACGGACGCGTTCCTCCGCGGGATCGCGCCGGCTGTAACCGAGACAAATTGTAAGCGGACGTAACGCGCCACGCTATCCGTCGGCCTGCCTTGTCAGACCTCGAACCACCACCCCCGGCCGTTCGTTGTTCCGCCGTGTCCCGTATCTCGTGGCGATTAAACGACCGCGACCGCTCCGTCTTCTTTATGGCTGTGGGACTGCGGAGCGCCGTGTACCGGTGAACTTTTACAAGATATTAAATAGAAGTGCCGGCCAGGGTGGGACGGGCAGCGGCAGTAACTCGGTTTAATCTTCGCGCTGAGTAATTACATTCTTCGCCTCGGAAAGTCGTGGTTTCCGCGGGGACGAGGACGTTTGCGACAGGCGATGCGGATGGCGAACGATACGACGGATGCACGGATTAAAGAGAGGAAGCTGCGGCAGACTGACTTCTCTACGGCGGAAATTCGCGGGGAACAGTGTCGTTCGGCGAATAAATAGGGAAACGAGATTCGTACGAGAGATAACCGATTCGTCATCGTTGAATACCAGGTGAACGGAACGCGGACTGAACTTACGACTACACGGTCGAACGTTCCAGTGGAACGGTGAAAGGACGCGGACTGGAAGAATCTTTCAGTTCCCTCTATCTGCTGAAAGGACCCGCAAGGTTTAAAACACGAAAGAAACGCGGCAGTTCCCAGCAAAAGGAGCCGGGCAGCGGGTAGTATGGGTGGCGGCGGGGCAGAGTAAAGATCCCGCAGCCCTTATTTAACCGTCGGCGGCCGCGCCGCTGCAGGCGATACCTCTTCGCCTAATCTAACCTATATTTTCCTCCGTTTCACCTGGAGCTCGGCTATCGGTCGGTTTTTTCCCCTCTCCGTGGTAACTATCCGACGGAATAGCCGAACGCCGCGTCTAGACGATGGCGGCCCTCGCGTTGCTCCCATTTTCCCAGTGCGGCGGCGGCGGCGCGCTGAATCGAGCCGGGGAACTGCGCGAGAACCGTGAATTCCCGCGTGTCTGGGAACGTGAGGATGAAAACACCGTCGGGCTCAATATCGGGGAACATTAAAGCTGATCCGATGCCTCGCTCACAGGCCCAAATTGAATTCCCCGCGAGAAAATATCGCGCGGTCCGCGCTCCTCCCTCACCGTGTCAGCGGTGTCTCTCCGGTAGGCGCGATCGATGCCCGGCGCCTCTCGAATCTCGACCAGCGCGAACCGGAAGCACGCGGAGAAAGCTCCGGTTAGACCGAGCCACGGTTTCCCCATTCTTCCGCGTCAGTTCGATTCGCCGCGAGTCACGGTAACCTACGATCCGGACCCACGATCCGGTCGTGATATCGATCGCACTATTCGCAAAAGTCTTTTCTCCGCCCGGAGCTGCCGCGTTCGAGTCACAATTCCGTTCGGAACGTTTCCGCTGGGGATCGAGAACCCGACGAAGGCTACCTATGCACAGCGATGTCCACGCGGTCACGCTTACGCGGGGATGGGATTCCAACGAGAGTCATTCGCGGAGGACCGAGAAGCTTTAGACGTCTGCTTCTCTACCCACCCGTTAATTCGAATCTTCGAATTTACCGGGCAGAGGAGCCGTTCGCGAGGCAATAACGATAAACGCCACTGGGATGTTCCCAGGAATAGCGAAGAAACGCAACGAAACAGCGCGCCGGCAAAAAATTGGAAAAGACGCTCGGAAACGCTTGGTTCGACGATATTTTCCGGTTGTACGTTGGATAGCATTGCTTACATTCCGCTTGCAGCGGCACAGATTCTGGACGATGTAAACGGGAAGCAAGGAATTGCCTCTCGGAGGAGGGAATGGGCACGTTCGTCGCCTACGTCGGCTCCGCTGGTCCGTTCCCTCCTCCTTTCTCGCTTTTGTATCGCCCTCCATCTTTCTGGCCCGCACTTTGTCTCCGCGAGCCACATTCGGGTCACCGGCGCAACCGGGGATGCTTTAACGATCTGCATTGCATGAGCATTTCCCTCTTCCCTTCGACCGGACACTCTTCCCACCCGTTTTCTTGCGTCCTCGCGCCGATCCGCCGCCCACCGCGGCGTCGTCACAGTTTCGGATTGCACCCGATGGTTGACAAACTCCCGTTGTTTTGCACGGCAAACAAGCGGTTACCGAATCCATTCCGCGAGTGGATTCATTGACCATTTCGCGAGAATTTCTTTCGTGAGATTGAAGCGAGCCGGATAACGAGACGCGTCGAGTCTTTCGCCGACACCGGCCACGCTCGAGGTTCGCGTCGCTAGGCTGATCTAGTTGAGCTTACTTTTCAAACCTGATTACTCGTGCGTCTGGTCGGCGCGCGTGGAACTGCTGTTCCGCCCGGGGAACTTTGGGCGAGAATGTTCGCG